TGCTATCCAGTGAAACAACTCCTACAGCTTTGGTTTTCTGCCACTTGCTGCTTCTCTTTCAGATTATTTTCATGGTTGGCCGAGGGTATGCTTCTCCAGACCTCAGTAAATTGTACAAGAACTGCCCCAAAGCAATGAAGAGGCTTGTAGCAGATTGTTTGAAGAAAGTTAGGGAAGAACGACCTCTGTTTCCACAAGTAAGTGATTTCCTGCATCTGAGTTTCAGAGTATTTTGTGAATAGCCATTAGCACACAAAGCATTCTAGAGGTTTTGGTTTATATGAAGTGTACCTGCTTCCTATTTTAGTCTTTATTCATATGTGTATTTCTCATAGCCCAGCTTCCTTAAGCAGTTTGTAATTCTAACTGGACATAAGGGTCACCAAAACAATACTACGCATGCAGACTGACACAGTCTTAGGCTTACACTGGAACAGTTTGCTTTCAACAGCTGACCTGTTTTAGAGATAAGCCGACAAAAACAAAAGCCCTAACATAATCTCTGCTGAACCCAGGACATTATCTTCTTTTAGTGTAGGTTTGAGGGAAACAAGACCGTTTCCTTCCCCACGGAAGAAGCAGACAAAATCCACTGAGGGATGTAAATTCATGTAGCAATTTTAGGTGGTTTTACCAAACATACTTTACCTTTCTGTGTTGCTATGAAGATGATGAAGGTACCTTTAAGTAGCTGGAATTAAGTATCAGCAGATTTTGAAGAAATAACTTGCTGTTACAGTCAAGTACAGCTTTTGTTTAAAGTGTTCTTTATAATGTTGTTTTCTAAACAGAGTTTTAGGTAGAGGATGCAGTTCTCTCCCTGTCACTTGTGGAGGACTGCACAGATGCAAGTTAATTGATCATAATGTCTGTGGACTAATGGAAAGTATCCTCCCATCCTCTGAAACTCAGTGAGACCCTACATGGCAATGAAACTGTGTGGCAGAGTTTGGTTATTCACACTGGAATATTCCCAGAGTGTTGTTTCCAGAGCCTCCACACAGTATGCTGTTGCTCTTAGAAGATACACTAAAAGCTGTAAGAAAGGGGAATGGCTTTAACCTGCCAGAGGGGAGACTGAGATGAGCTCTTAGGCAGAAGCTCTTCCCTGTGAGGGTGCTGAGGCGCTGGCACAGGGTACCCAGAGAAGCTGTGGCTGCCCCATCCCTGGCAGTGTTCAAGGCCAGGGTGGACACAGGGGCTTGGAGCAAGCTGCTCCAGTGGAAAGGGTCCCTGCCCATGGCAGGGAATTGAAACTGGATGAGCTTTAAGGTCCCTTAAACACAAACCACTCTGGGATTCTCTGATTAAGACTTAAGTATAAAGAGCTCCTTGTCTAACAGGCCTTGTTTTAATGTTATGTATTTCCTTCAGATACTGTCATCCATTGAATTGTTGCAACATTCTTTACCCAAAATCAACCGGAGTGCTTCTGAACCATCTCTGCACCGTGCTGCCCACACAGAGGACATAAATTCATGCACGTTAACATCAACGAGACTGCCCGTGTTTTAGGATCGTGCTCCCCTTCCCTCATCCTCTCCAGTGCTGGGAAAGGAACAGAAGTAACAGAAGTTGTGCTTTTAATGCCTCAGTGTACAGGATCAGTGCCAGCAGGATCATCTGCCTCCCAGTTTTAAGAACAAGCTGCTAAGGATGTCTGCAGTTCTTACCCTGCAGGGACACGGCTCCACCTTGCCTTTTTCTACAGTTTCTTTTACTGGGATAGTTAACAGACTACAAATCAAGAGATCTATTACTATTTTTTTAATAGATGCACTTGAGCCTTATTTTTCCCATACCCAGAAGTGATGGCTGTTTCTTTGGCAGTGTTTCTGGATTGATTTGAATCTGTTGGTAAATTGGTATTCTTTACAGCAAGGATGGCTCGCCTCAGAGAGATGATGTGTTCTGGTGCTCTTTGATGTGCCACTGCAGGCTGGGGGAGTCCTCCTGACATGGGTATCTGCAAACAAGACTGAGGGAAGAGGAAAAAAACTTTCTGGAAATCAGCTCCTGCCTAAGAGCTTTCATCAAGCCAATGAAATAAGTTAAAATGCTAATTCAACACTAAATAGTTTTGCAATAGTTTTGCACATAGAAGAGAAACTCTTGCAAAAGAATGGAATATATTCTGAATTGTTCTGCTCAGAGAAGGAAGCTAGCCAGTCTTGCTACGGTCATCCTCAGTAACTTAAGCAGCTTACTTTGGTACTATGGACTTGTTTCCTGCAGCCCAGCGAGGTGGGAAGTGCAGAAAGCCAGGCTTTTGTGGCTGAGAACAGGCTCATTAACACTCTCCTTATACTTCTGCAAAATGAGCATAGTCTTCATCCCATCTGAAGCTGTCGTCCAAGAGATGCACTATCAAGAGGAAACTGAGCATATACAGTTTTTCTTGCTGATTTGGGTTTTAATTTTGTTTTTATTGCTCCTGAGAAAAATGCATTTATTGTAAGCCAAGGTTCCTCTGATTATCTTATTTTAATAAAATAAATTAAATTTTAGGTTGAAGATTCAATGTCATCCTTTAATGCGGTAATCCATCGCTCTGACATGTACAGCTAGATTGGAACAACTCAGAAAATGATATTCAGAATGATTGTTTTAAAAGCAGTTTAAGTAAAAACATTTGAGACCACCACCTCCAGGTTTGCAGTCACTTCCATTGCAGGATGGTTTTTACAACAACAGCCTCAACAGCATCAACTGATTCAGGTACTACGCTGCTGGATGATGAAGCTGTTGCACGGCACCAGTTTCGCTGTGTTTTATCTTCTGTGGCCCTGTTGTTTGCTTAGGTCCAAGTGAGTGTTTTGTCATGGCTGAACTCCACAGGGGACAAAAAATAGGGTGGGTTAATCTAAGAAACTCGTTTTTAAATAGCATTCTGTTTAAATACATTTACTAGGAAGCCAAGCGTCCATTCCTGATGTGGAAGCTTGGGAATCTGTGGCTTTCTCTGTGCACAGCTCTCTAAATGTTACTTATCTCTCATGTTACCTTCATTATAATATAGAATAGTTGACGAACAAGAATAAATCGTATAAAGCTGCTGCTACTTCAGGTCTAAAAGAAATGATTAATCCCTAGTTTTTAGAACAGATTATGTTAAATTAAAACTTTTATGTTGTTCCTGTGTAGCTTTGAAAAACAAGTTGTCTTTTTAATCTCAGACTGCTGCTGCCTGGTTCATGTCTTCGTGGGACACAGGAAACCAGGAATATCTTGTTTAAGGTAAAGCATACCCCTCCATTGACTTCTTTGGGGTGTATTTTATTACTTTCTTTTGCTCACCTTTGTGACTGGTGATGAAGAACAACACTCACGTGCCTCTCTGTACCTTTATGTGCCACTGACCAGTAAGCAGTCACAGACTGTGCCAAGCTGAGGCCTGACTGCAGTAAGCACTGTGAAAAATTAACCTTAGGGGGGAAATAACTGTGGAAAAGTTCCATTTCCTGGGTCAGAACCAGAGCAACTTGTGCGTGTTCAAGGGGAGGGAGCTGCTGGCAGCAGAGATGGGATGAGTTCTCCCTCTTCTGTTGGAACCCTCAGGGAAATGCAGCCATTTCCACGCAGGAGGCTCCTCAGCTTCAGCTCTGACCCAGAAATGCCAACCCATGGTGAAAACCGGTAATGCTGGAGTCACTAATTTGATGCCATTTAAAATGTCTGAACACCAGCTGAAGGCTCTGCTGTTTGCTTTGTGACAGGGACACAGATCCCCATTTTCAGCCATCTGAGCAGTGCCCCATTGGCTGTGCTGACGTGAGGCTTTTGCCCAAGTGTCTCTGAATACACTTTGCCTCACAATACAGACAACTTCTGTTGTCTCAGCAACTGACCTTTCAGAAATGCTTGAGGCTTTAAGCCAACAGCAGCCCTTCAAGGGTATGAGGTGTTGTCCACACTGGCCCTCTACTGACTTTAAGACCATCTGCTACATGTGCTTAAGAGGTCACTGCTTGCACTCCCCTGGTTTCCTGCTGTATTGCTCAGGAGCCATTTCAGACTGAGTTCTTAGCTGAACTGCCAAGTTAGTACAAATGGCTTCACAGCATTAACTTCCTATATCAAATTTCACCATCAAATTGTTTTTGCTCAAAGCCTTTGCAACACAATTTAATTATGAACAAAAATGGGATTCAGCAGCAGCTCCATAACTCAGAAGAGACGTACCTTAATCCCTCACACCACTGCCCTTACCCAGCCTTGGCACATCCCCTGAGGGCAATGCCTGAAGGCAGGAGTTAAAACTATCTGCTCCTGACTGAAATAGCTTACACTGTATACTTCTATCTGTAAGGATCACTGAAAATGTAGTTACTTAACTCGGGCTACTTCAGTGAAAGGCATCAAGGGTTCCAGGTTAAAGACATTTGAAGTAGTTAGACTGAACAACACTGTCACTATTGCTGTTGCCACTGTTACTGCACCTAACTCCTTCCTCTCACCAGTGTTTCCAGAATCCAGGTTATGCTGCAGGCTCAATTTCGCTGTCTGTTGTGACTCTGGCACTGCTCCGAGTTTACTCTGAACTCTGGGTACTACTTTGAGGTATAACGTATTAGTTCTTAAATCTCCTTTTTAAGGAAGAGAAAGCTTTGCTAACCATTATTCCCAGTGGGGTTTTGTACATACACAGTTGATTTAGTGTGAAAACCAAAACCAATACAAGCTAAACCCTCCTTAAATTGATTTAGCAACAGTTTTTAACAGCTTAAGTTTTAAAAGGTAAGGGAGGAGCTGTATTTACACTGCCACTCAGCTCCCAGGAGAGCATCTCTTAGGCCAAAGAGAAAACCCTCTTGGGTTGAAGGGATTCTGTTTCCCATGCAATCAATTCATCTTTTTGAAATATATTTTGGTATTTTTGGTGCCACACAAAACCAATCTGAAAGCCTCACTGGGACTGCACGAATCCACCACAGGGCACACTCCTCCTAACTGTGCTGTATAAAGTCAGAGCAGCACTAAATAAACAGCTGGATCGCCACAGGCAGAAGCACCTCCCGTCCTCTTTATTGAGAAGTAGCAGAGTCCTCATCGGCCCCTGAGAGGTGCATGAACAGTTCTCCCAGTTCAGTGACGTCGGTGTCCGTGCTGGGCACACTCCTGCTCTCTCTGTCTTCAATGAAGTCCCACAGGCGAACAGAATTGAAGAACTGCAACAGAAGAAGCTCTTGTCACAGTTCCATCAAATATTGTCCCTTCTCAGTCTTATTTCTTCATTAAAACAAGCCCAAAGTTGACCCTCAAGAGCTGAGTCTGCACTAAGGCTCCTGGCACCGCTGGCAGTGAAACCCAGTGACACCCCCTCTAGCACAAAGGTGACACAGAGCGAGGCAAACCAGCTGCACCAGCCTGCTGGAGCATGGCCCTGCCACCACCCTGCACCATGAGCTCCTCAGGTGGCTTTCACCTGAGGCAGGCAAGCAAGGCCTTTAACACTGCAGGGGAAAGCTTTAAAGGGCAGGACTCCTTTGGAGAAAGGTTTGCCACGAGGACTGCAATAGTAAACGTGAAATCAGAGGTGTCTTCTCCTTCCCTACTGCCAGGCCTTTGCTTCAGGGAAGACCCAGGGCTGCTGTCCTCGCTTCCCTACAGCCCTGTGGCATCCGACACACATCTATGCAGTAAGCTTCACACACACGCCATGGTTTAACCACCCCTGGGGAGTCCTCTCTTACCCGCACAGTGCCCTCGGAGCTGAGCTGCTTCCTTGGCTTTTCAGGCTCGGCTCGCGTCCCATCTGGGTAAGCGTGAAGGTAAAGACATTTCCCTCCGAAAGGGCACGTTCCCTTCCCTTGTTCAAAGTACTTGCAGGGCTTTTTCCTGGTGTAATTGGAAGAGAGGGTTATTGTCTGCAGGTAGGAAGGAAGCAGTGACTGTTCAGTCCTCAGGGCTGCTGCTTGCATCCTCAGTGGTGCAAAGTGAGAACCCAGCTGACAGCAGTCAAAGCAGAGGGGAAGGATTATTAAAAGCAAACCAATAGGTAAATGAACAGCATCAGAACTCAGAGGAATTAAACCATCTTAAGACACAGGAAGTGAAGAACGGTCCAAGCCTGTCACTGATCCTGCACACGTGTTTTCACCACACCCAACAAACCCACTATTCTTTCCTACCAACATTCCTCTCCTGTGCTTTCTAGCACTATGCTTTTATTGAGCCAGCTCCTCACCACCTCCTCTGGAGGGTCTGCAACACTGGCGTAGTTCAAGTGCCCACCAGCGTTGTCACTCATCTGCAGTGGAAACTACAAAGCAAATGCAGCTGACCCTGTAAACCTGATCTGCAGTGATGAAAGCAGGCAGACACGTCCTGGGCATTCCCAGGATATACAAGCCCAACAGTAACAAAAGCCAAACCCCAGCCAGGCAGCGCATTAGGAGCAGAAGGGGTTTGTCTGTGACTTCCAGGCTTCTAGGGCTGACTTTTTTCCCCTTGCTAGCACATGACTGGATTTGTGCTGGCCTGACCCTGCTCTTAGATTAGGCTTGGCTTTATTAGTGCCCTATTACCATGTTTTCATTCCATGTAATGTTAACCCTTACGTTAAACTGACTGCCAGGAGATCTGTCCATAGACTGCACCAACGCCGTTTCCTTCCAGGCAGTTCTAAGGGACCAGCTGAAACAGCATGAAGCTGATTTTGGCAAGTGAACTGAGATCACAGAGCACCGTGAGTCTGAACGATTTCTGAGCTATAATTACATGACAAACGCTTCTGTGGCAGGCCCCAAGTGACATCAAAGTGTTAGCAGAGATGATGAGCTTGCTGTGGGGCAGGTTTGGACCTCCAGAAAGCTAAAAGCACAGGCACCCCAGCTGACTTAAGGCCAGTGCAAACAGTGTGTGGCTGCTCCTGGACTTACTTACCCCACTCCCTGCTTAAATGCTTCAATCAGTTCGTTTTTCTTCTCCTGGTCTTCTACCCAGTACGTGCTGGGAATGACGAACTCGGAGATCACACGGCACTCGGGGCAAGACCTGAAGGCAAAGCACCAACGCTCTGTTATTTCCCAAGGGACACTCCTCAACAAACGTGCAGGAACAGCCACCTCCTGAGGGGCAGGGAGCTGATGCAGGCACCGCCTCACTACCGGCACATGTGCACCGCTGCCATGAGCATCAACTGAAATAACCTGATTCGGTGCAGCCAGAGCTTGTGCTTCCTTCTGCTTGTTTCTAGGCTCAGACAAACGTCCCAGCTATCTCCTCAGTACATCAGCACACGCTAATCCCAACACACAGCCATGAACCATCCCTGTTACCTGAGCGCTGCAGCCCCCACGCAGCAGAAAGCCAAAACAGCTGGGAAAAGGTCAAAGCCTTTGAGATGGCACCTGACATCCACCAGCAGCAATGAGCTGTCCCTTCAGTGGCTTTACTGGATGGATTTCTACATGAGGAACCAGTAAGATCAAGGATCAAACATGCAACTTCAGGTCCCTCAACAAGCCTAGGAAAGGCTTTATGACCCTGCCTGTCCCACAGCTGCTGGGTGTCCCCGCAGGCTGAGCCAAGTCCCTCCTTTAGCTTAACTCTGCAACCACCAGTACATTCACTGCAACCACCAGTACATTCAGTGTTATGGAGAAGGGTGAAAAACCATGTCAGAAGCATCTGGGTCAGGATTTAATCCATGTTAGAAGCATCTGTGCCAGGATTTAATCCATGTTAGAAGCATCTGTGCCAGGATTTAATCCATGTTAGAAGCATCTGTGTCAGGATTTAATCCACGTTAGAAAGAATCTGTGTCAGGATTTAAACCATGTCAGAAGAATCTGTGCCAGGATTTAATCCTTGCTCCAAATGGGAGCTGAAAACCCCCAGTTTTTCAGTGAAACCCTCCCCGAACACTGTGGTACCTGGCTGGGAACAGCTCAGCTCCAGCACAGGTTATGTCATGCCCTAAGGAGCCAACGTTCACTTCCATGAAATGGATAACATTGTGCAGAAACGTCTGTGCTAGCAGGAGACTGAAGAGAGTTCCCACCTTTCCCTCACCATGGCTGTGACTTGGGAGAGGTTTCCAAGAGGTGCTCAAAAAAGGGAACAGCCCCAATTCAGTGTCTGAAATTCTCTCCTCTGAGGAGGAGCGTGTTTGGAATACAGCTTTTACAGAGCTGGAGGATAAAGCATTTGCTCAGATACTGATAAATGTGTGGTTAGTGGGACATTTAACCTTGAGTAAGTTACAGTATGGAACAAACCCCAGTAATTCAGCAGATGCACAGCCAAAAGGAGGCACTGCTCCTGCACACAGGTTACTGCGAAGGGTGCAGGTTCACCAGGTCTCAGTTGCTCACAGTCCACGTGTCTACACTTTGCCCCCCATCAACACAAGACAGGGCTGTCACCAAGGGCAAGCTCTTCCATACAGGACCACAGTGAGAAAGCAGACTCTCACCAAGAGACATCCCACGTGTCCTGCTGGTCTTGAACACTGCTCTCCCAGCCCCACTCCCATGTCCTGGAATTGGCCAGCACTTGGACCAGGATTTTCTGAGCTCAGAACTTATTAATGGCTATGCTAACATTTACAGCAACACAGTCCCTAGTCACCAGTCATATTTCTCTAGGAGTCAAAGCACACCAGAGAGCCCATCTCACTGACCCAGCCACGGAAAGGAGACTCCGGTTAACATCCACTTACTTTATGATGGGATTCTCAAACTGCTTGGCACACCTCCACTGCCGGATGCAGGACAAGCAGTACGTGTGGTTGCAGTTGGAAAGGATCCCAAACCTCCTCTCGGAGGCCGATGGCTTCTCATACACCACTTCCATGCAGATACTGCACACTTTGTCCTGACTTGCCTGAAAGGCAAAGGCCTTCTCCATGTCGTGCTCAAATGTCGCCATGCACATCTGTCATGGGAGAGACATCCCTGGTTACTGCAGTCCACACATTGCCTGTTCCTCAACAGTGTCTATGGAAGGGACCTGCTGCAGGGAGAACAAGGCACGCTCGCTAACAGCATCATCCCTAACCTTCATCAGCAGAATTTAGTTTGAAGAACACCACATTCAATCCCAGATGTCAGCCCTTCAACGTCCTCTGCAGCTTCAGCAGTATCAGAAGGAACGGGCCCTAGTGCTTGTCCTTTACCCCTTTCTGTATCTCTGTCATGGCACATGCATTGCACCAGGAGATGCTCCACATCCCCTAAACCCATTGCATCCAGGGTCCAGCACAGGTGCCACACTCAAGGTGTTACTCTGCTGATCCTGAAGACCACACTCATTCACCACAGTAAGCTCTACACCAGCTAGGAATTCATCTCTTATTACAGGCTTTCCTACAGCCCCTCTCATCCTCTGTCCAGGAGGGACAGCCACTGCCAGTCCACTCACACACCACTACAAGGTGAGTTGGTGCTTACACCTGTGTACGTTCAACTCTTACAAGAGACCCAGAACTTGACAAGTAAAGGAAATCTAAAGGACTTTAAATCACACTACTACTGAACAAGGACACAGACTAATTCTACGTTGGTATCAGCACTGTGGCTGCTGCACCTTCTCAGTCCCACGCACCCTGCTGCTGCCAGAGCTGAGCCACGGTGGCAGGACACTGCCAGGTCCCGACAGGCTCTGGAGAGGAGCGAGCTCTCCACAGCAGCATCAGGGACATCCAAGCACCCAACACCAGAGAGCTTTAACCCCTCAGGTCCTGCCCCAGGCTCATGATTCAGTAACCACTGACGCTGCCCGTCTTGCTCCTCCTCAGCCTTGAGAACTGTTCCTGACTTGAACCTGGAAGCCAGGCAGGGAAAAGAGTAGCTCCTTCAGCCCACCATTACCTGACCAGTTCCTCATGTGGCCCCTCCAGCTCAGCTCCAAACCCTCCGCACTCAGTTCAGTCTGTCTCTACTTGACCCTGTCCTGACACCAGCCACAGCCAGGAGGAGACACCCGAGGAGCTGACTCAGGTGGTGAGCTCAGAACACACCAGCAGCCCACAATTCCTCTCCCCCACCATACATAGCACCGTGGAGATGTCATGGGAGCTGCAGAAGACATTGTCCTGAGGGAGCTTTTCCATGCTCTGGGAGACGCTGCAGGCAAGCGTCCGATAAGGATGAAATGGGAAAAGAAGTTGCTGTAAGAGGCTGTCTGCATCAGCATCACCAATTAAGCCCCAGATGCTTGAACAGAGCACTCTTAGCATCACTTTATAATGAGACAGCTCTTTGGACCAACAGGCTCCTACAAAACACACCTTTGGGTCTTAGAGCAAACCAACCAAACCTTGCACTGAGCAAAGCAAATCCCACATGGATCTCACGTCACTCTTACCATCTCGTGAGCCTTCCTCTGCTCCTGGTTGAAGGGGTGCAGGACTTGCAGCCCACATATCTCACACACGTCCCCGTGGATGTAGAGGCAGCGCTCTCCGAAGTGGCAGGCGCCCGCTGCAGCGTAGGGACACAACTGCTCTGCATCAGCACAGGAGCCTGCAGCCACCGGGTCCTCCAGCCCGCTGCAAATAGCTTCCAGGTAGGAATGGGGCTTCACTTCCACACTGTCGTTTTGGTCACTGCAGCACACCACGTCTCCCGTGCCACTGGGTTTGTGCTTCTCTTCAGTCAAGCCACACAGATCTTAAGGAAGAGAAATGTATGAGCCACACGAGACACGCCACGAGAGGCTCCTTGCCAATGCTAGCCTTTCTTTTTAAGAAAAAAGCCCTTTTCTTCTCAAGGCAGCCTCATCTCTGAGCACCTCTGACTCACAAACCACAAGAGCTGTCACCAGCTACCTCCTGAAAAGGTCGATTGCAAGATTCCATCAGTGAGAAGAGGCAGAAGCAGCGTGCAGGCGGCGGGGGCTCCCTGCCACCACGATGGGTGATGGAAGCACGATGGGTGCCTCCGTGCTTGTGTTCCTGAGAGCTGGCACAACCTCCACCAAGCACAAGCCAGGCACCATGGCCCTGCTTCCCAGCATTTCAAATGCCCTCACAGTGACAGCAAAACACGGTTTGTTGTGAGCAAAACCCCAGCCTGGTTTGGGTTGAAGGGACCTTAAAGCTCCTCCAGCTCCAACCCCTGCCACGGGCAGGGACCCCTTCCACTAGAGCAGCTTGCTCCAAGCCCCTGTGTCCAACCTGGCCTTGAACACTGCCAGGGATGGGGCAGCCATAGGCCCCAGACAAAAGCAACCCCTCAGGAACACCAGGTCAAAACCCAGCCAGCCAGAGAGAGCCATTACAGTACTGACAGGCAGAAGTGTTCCCAGGAACCCATCCAGGACTACATCCCCCTGCTCCTCTCAGCGAGCCTCAAGCAATAAAAGGAGCAGCACAACCCAGCAGCCCTCACAGCGTGAGGGCGAGCCCAAGCGCCACTCCCACTCACTTCTGTCCCTCAGCACCAGCGTCTTCTTCTCCCTCTTGCCAGCCTCGTGCCGTTTGCTCCTGGTGACCGGGGCGCCAGGCTCGGGTGGGTGCCGGGGGCCCTGCGGGGCAGCCAGCGGGGCAGGGGGTGCAGGGGCTGCTGCTCCCCCCGGCGGAGGGAGCCGGGTGTGATCATACCTGCCAGGGAGAGACAGAGCAGTGAGAGAGCTGAACCTGTGTGACTGTACCTGCCAGGGAGAGACAGAGCAGTGAGAGAGCTGAACCTGTGTGACTGTACCTGCCAGGGAGAGACAGAGCACTGACAGCTGAACCTGTGTGACTGTACCTGCCAGGGAGAGACAGAGCAGTGAGAGAGCTGAACCTGTGTGACTGTACCTGCCTAACAGAGACAGAGCAGTGAGAGAGCTGAACCTGTGTGGCTGTACCTGCCTAACAGAGAGCAGTGAGAGAGCTGAACCTGTGTGACTGTACCTGCCTAACAGAGAGCAGTGAGAGCGCTTAACCTGTGTGACTGTACCTGCCCGAGAGACAGAGCAGTGAGAGAGCTGAACCTGTGTGACTGTACCTGCCTGAGACAGAGCAGTGAGAGCTGAACCTGTGTGACTGTACCTGCCCGAGAGACAGAGCAGTGAGAGAGCTGAACCTGTGTGACTGTACCTGCCTAACAGAGAGCAGTGAGAGCTGAACCTGTGTGACTGTACCTGCCTAACAGAGAGCAGTGAGAGAGCTGAACCTGTGTGACTGTACCTGCCTAACAGAGAGCAGTGAGAGCGCTGAACCTGTGTGACTGTACCTGCCTAACAGAGAGCAGTGACAGAGCTGAACCTGTGTGACTGTACCTGCCAGGGAGAGACAGAGCAGTGAGAGAGCTGAACCTGTGTGACTGTACCTGCCTAACAGAGACAGAGCAGTGAGAGAGCTGAACCTGTGTGACTGTACCTGCCTAACAGAGAGCGGTGAGAGCGCTGAACCTGTGTGACTGTACCTGCCTAACAGAGAGCAGTGAGAGAGCTGAACCTGTGTGACTGTACCTGCCTAACAGAGAGCAGTGAGAGCGCTGAACCTGTGTGACTGTACCTGCCTAACAGAGAGCAGTGAGAGAGCTGAACCTGTGTGACTGTACCTGCCTAACAGAGAGCAGTGAGAGCGCTGAACCTGTGTGACTGTACCTGCCCAAGAGAGACAGAGCAGTGAGAGAGCTGAACCTGTGTGACTGTACCTGCCTAACAGAGAGCAGTGAGAGAGCTGAACCTGTGTGACTGTACCTGCCTAACAGAGAGCAGTGAGAGAGCTGAACCTGTGTGGCTGTACCTGCCTAACAGAGAGCAGTGAGAGAGCTGAACCTGTGTGACTGTACCTGCCTAACAGAGAGCAGTGAGAGAGCTGAACCTGTGTGACTGTACCTGCCTAACAGAGAGCAGTGAGAGAGCTGAACCTGTGTGACTGTACCTGCCTAACAGAGACAGAGCAGTGAGAGAGCTGAACCTGTGTGACTGTACCTGCCAGGGAGAGACAGAGCAGTGAGAGAGCTGAACCTGTGTGACTGTACCTGCCTAACAGAGACAGAGCAGTGACCTGCCTAACAGAGAGCAGTGAGAGAGCTGAACCTGTGTGACTGTACCTGCCTAACAGAGAGCAGTGAGAGAGCTGAACCTGTGTGGCTGTACCTGCCTAGAGAGCAGTGAGAGAGCTGAACCTGTGTGACTGTACCTGCCTAACAGAGAGCAGTGACAGAGCTGAACCTGTGTGACTGTACCTGCCAGGGAGAGACAGAGCAGTGAGAGAGCTGAACCTGTGTGACTGTACCTGCCTAACAGAGAGCAGTGAGAGAGCTGAACCTGTGTGACTGTACCTGCCTAACAGAGAGCAGTGAGAGAGCTGAACCTGTGTGACTGTACCTGCCTAACAGAGAGCAGTGAGAGAGCTGAACCTGTGTGACTGTACCTGCCTAACAGAGAGCAGTGACAGAGCTGAACCTGTGTGACTGTACCTGCCAGGGAGAGACAGAGCAGTGAGAGAGCTGAACCTGTGTGACTGTACCTGCCTAAGAGCAGTGTGACACAGCCTGGACCTGATGTCAGGACAAATGGAACTGACCTGAAAAGCTGCTTTTGTTTTTAAAGGGCTGTTCTGACAAGTCACCTGAACTGCTCAGCCCCTTTGGAAGCCACACTGAAAGGCTCCTCAGCCTCCAAAAGCAGATGCCTCCGAAAGCACCCCTTTATTTCTCTCTCCAGAGACACCCAGCACAGCTGGAAGAACACTATTTATGTGCACATTCAGTTCAGTCTTGTCACCCCTCTCACACCCAGGTTTCTGGCATCTCTCACATTGAAATTCCACGTGGGAGCAGTGGCATTTCGTGATCTGGGTTTTCCCCTGCAAGCACCAGCACTGGGACTTCATGCTCTGCCAGCAGAGCACACACAGCAGGTGACGCTGCTAGGAAAGGGCTCAGAACAGCTCAGGAAACACTCTCCTGCGGCAGAGCAGAGCCATGGGGCGGTGAAGGGGCCGGTTCAGCAAAGCCAGGGGCATACCCCAACACTGATGGGAACAAAACCACCCTCCGCATCTGTCTACAGCCCTGCACCCAGGACCTGCAGTGCCCACAGCCGTGCCGTGCACCTGAACCACCGCTGTGACCCCAGTGCCCCAACCTCCAGCCAAGCAGCTCGAGTACAACAACAGCGACCACCTGGCACCATCGCTAGGGTCCGGTCTGCACCCGCCTCATCCCGCGGCAGGACCACGCATCCCTGGCGCAGGGCTGTAACCGGGGCTCCTGCAGCGACAGCACTGCCCCATCAGCACCAGCTCCTCATCCGTGACCCACGTTGCCCCCCAGCATAGGCTGTAACAACACGAACTAACGGGGGGTCCTTGCTAAAGCCTTTCCCGAGAAGTTTTAACCACCAGAGCTCAGGGGAAGTTTCAGCTTCCCACCGGGAGCGCACGAAACCCCCTTTGCTCTAAGGCAGACGGGGCGGTTCTCAGAACCGTGCGCTGGATGGAACCTGCGCTGCAGCGCTGGCTGCGCAAGCCGGGTTTGGTACTGCGAGGAAAAGCGCGTATCCAACACACCGCTTCACTCCCTTTGCCGTCCTGCCGCGGGCGCTGGTTCCTGGCGCACCAACCTCACTGTTACACCCGGTTCTCCCCGTGCCGGGGCTGGGAAGGCGCGGGCTCCTACCTGCAGCGGGCTCCGTAGGCGCACTGCCCCTTCTGGTAGTACTTGCAGACGGTGGAGGACTTGCTGCTGGACAGATCGTGCGAGAACAGGCACTTGCTCCCCTCGCGGCACACTCCCTGCACGTAGTACCTGCGGGGAGCGCGGGGTCAGCGCTTCCGGGCCCGCTCCGGCCCCCGCGCCCCGTGGCACCCCCGGCCCGCACCCGGGCCCCGCTCTCCCACCCGCCTGGAGCGGAGCGCGCTCCGCTGCGCTGCCGGGTCCCGCACGGGGGAGGACGGGCCCGGAGGGGCCTCCGCGGCCGAGTGCACCGCGGGAGGCAGGCCGCGGCCCGAGCGGCGGCGCTCACCTGCACGTCACCTGCTTCGTGCTCATCCTGCCCGCTCCGCCCCGCGGCCCAGCGCCGCCCGCCGCGTTCCGCTCCGCCGGGGCGGAAGGGCGAAGGAAGGGCGGAGCCAAGAGGCCGCGGCGCCGCGCCCCCGCCCGGACGCTATTCAGCGGCGCACAGCACCACCGAGGCGCGGAGGAGCCGGGCAGGCTAGAGCGCCGCTCGGCCGCACCATAGAGAGGCGGCGGCGGGGCAGGCTAGAGCGCCGCTCGGCCGCACCATAGAGAGGCGGCGGCGGGGCAGGCTAGAGCGCCGCTCGGCCGCGCCATAGAGAGGCGGCGGCGGGGCAGGCTAGAGCGCCGCTCGGCCGCACCATAGAGAGGCGGCGGGCGGGGCGGAGCGGCGCCATGGCGGAGGCCGCCATTCTGCGGGTGGTGCACTGCGGCTCCGCCATCTTCTGCCGGCGCGCGCCCCCGCGCTGCCCCGTGTGCGGCCGCCCCCTGCCGGGCGGGCTGAGGGGCGCCCCCCTGCGCCTGCCCGCCCCCTTCCGGCACGGGCACCGCCAGCCCCGGAGCTTCCTGCTGCGGCCCGCGGCGCCCAGAGGCGGCTTCCGGTACCGGGCGGAGGGAGCGGGAGCGGGGCCGTAAGGGGAGAGCTGAGAGCAGCTCCAGTGCCTGAGGGGGCTGCAGGAAACCTGGGGAGGGGCTGGGGACAAGGGATGTAGGGACAGGCCAAGGGGAATGGCTTGAACCTGCCAGAGGGGAGACTGAGATGAGCTCTTAGGCAGAAGCTCTTCCCTGTGAGGGTGCTGAGGCGCTGGCACAGGGTGCCCAGAGAAGCTGTGGCTGCCCCATCCCTGGCAGTGTTCAAGGCCAGGTTGGACACAGGGCTTGGAGCAAGCTGCTCTAGTGGAAGGGGTCCCTGCCCGTGGCAGGGGTTGGAGCTGGATGCGCTTTAAGGGCCCTTCCACCCCAAACCAGGCTGGGATCCCACGGTTCTCCGATTCTTGGCCCTCGCAGCGTAAGCACTGGTACCAGCTCTGTGACACAGGCTGTCCCGGGACCTCCCACCTGTCACTAACATCCCTGTGTCTGCCTTTCAGAGGCTACGATGGGAACTCTGATCTTCACGTTGGAATAACCAATAGTAACGGTAAAAACTCTGTGGTTGCCTTACAAACAATGCCCTTGCCTATTCCCTGTGTTTAGTCCAGGTGCCCAGCTCTGCCTTAACTGCTCCCCCAAGGTGGGCCACACGGTGTGACAGTCATGTCAGAGCCATAACCCTAATGCTAACCCATTGCTCTTGTTACAGGAAACACAGTTGTTGCTATTTTCTTAACACCCCCCACACACACACTTTAACAAGCCCCATTAAAAACCAGACCAGGTTCTCCCAGAGCAGGCCCACCCTGCAGCACCTTACTTCAGAGGGTTATTTCATAGAAACATGGCCTGATTTGGGGGCTTAGGAAAAAAGCTTGGTTGGCCTGAAGTTCTTTTCGGTATCAGAAGACATCCAAAAAGACATTGTAAGATTGAGAACAGGTTTTGATGAGGGCAAGGACTGCATTTTCTATTCTCTAGCCTCAGAACACCACTGGTAGGAAGCTGTGGAATACTCTGGGAAAGAATGGGCAGATGGAAAAGTAGCAGCAGGTTCCATAACTTAATACAAGAAGTCAGATGATGGCTCTGATTCTCCTGACAGTGCTGCTTTGTACTTTCAGGGGTGGTGTATAATTATGATGAAGAGGGCATCCACAGAGATGAAGCTGGATGGGAAGAGTGCATCAGTATCCCACTGGTCCAGCCGGACATGTTTGAGCTTCTTGAGCAGTGGGATAAGCTCCTAGAGGAGTTTTCAGTGCGAGAGGCCTGGCTTCCTCACAGGTGTGCCGTGGTAAAGCCAATGCAATGGGGGTGTCGGTCTGGGACCATAAATTGGGCTGTTCTGCTTTGGGCCCTGGGAGGCTTGTGGTTCCTTGCTCCTTTAGGACACACGCTGCTAACAAAGCAGCCTCAACGATGCTGCCTTGACATTCAGCAGAAGGGCAGTATTTTTAAGCTGTAAGTAACAACTCATTTGCTGGAATTCCAAAGCTCTAAAATCAGAGATCCTTTCAGGGGAGCTTGCTTCAGTAACAAAGGCATTTTTCATGAACACCCCTCTCCCCACCAGACCGAAAGGAGTTCAGTGAGGCGTCACCTTGAGGAGGGTGCTGCTGAGGAGAGAAGCAGAGAAGTCCAGGCAAAACTCTATTTCTTCTAGGTTTCAACAGCATTGGATGTATTTGCATTTCTGACCACACTGATGGGATTCTTGCCCAGCTCTTAAATCCAGATGACTTCATGGTTGTCAGTGACGATCAGCGCTGGGAACCGAGCTCAGGCTCATTGCCAGCTCTTCCAAGCTGGTTCCTAACATTGCCTTGGAGAGAGTTAAATACAGAGGAACTTCCCCATCTTTGAATGGAACCAAGAGTTCCAATGAGAATGGTCACCCTGCAGCTCTCCTTGAAGTTCATGCCTGGTGACAGTGTTCCCAGCTCCACAGCCCTGCTCACACACACACTGCCACATCACCAAGGGCTCCCCAAGAAAACACCAGCCCTCGACCCTTTCATCAGGAACAGCGCACGTAACACACAGCCCACCCGAGCACAGCTCTGTGAGGGGTTCAAGTCAATAAACATAGATGGCATCTCATAGAAAAAAGCCCCCATCAAATTAAAAGCATTTTTTTAGCAATTTAGTATGTGCTTGACTATCCCATTTCAGAGTTAACGTATTATCTCCTTAGTACCAGGTGAAAGAATTTGACACAGACTTTTTAAAGGCTTACAGACCTTGTCTCTGATCCCTGTGCAATCCCAGCACTGGGACATTACTACTACAATTACCTTGCTGTCCAAAAAGCACTGGTAGAAGGTGGATGGATGTGTGCCTGCCACCTCCTGACAAAGTGACCTACTTCTCCCACAAACAGACCAGCCACCACTGAACTGATGTTAAATTCTCTCCTCCATTTGTTTTCAATGCATAGGAACTACACGAAACTAATCCTGTAATTCCTTTAGGTTCAGGCCAAGCCTAATTCTGATGTTCTGGACTGCTTTTCATTTCCTGGATGGTAGATGCTCCAAGGTTAGGGTAGCAGGAGGGAAAACAAGGCAAGGGTATTTTAACTGGCTACTCCTCCTATTCAGTTAGTGTGTCTGTCCCTGTGTGACTGGCACACTGTATAGCAACTGTATCAACATCTGAGTGACAGAATTCACTTGATTTTGAGTAAGTAAGTTTCCAAGTTAATGCCATGCTAAAGGAAGTGCACATGGTGGCACACAATTAACGTGACTGCTGCCGGAAGACGTGTTCAAGATAACAGTGACAATACATGGGAGAGCCAAGGTTAACACGGTAAATGCCAAGCAAGTATGAAAAATAACAACTCATTCCTGTACAGTCTGCAGCTCTCTCTCTGTTAGAGGTTTTATGCTTACAGTTGCTAGTGTCCCTGGCTGGAAAGTACAACCTACAACTTGCAACCAAGAGAAGAGAAGCCCCTGCATTAAAGGAAAGCGGCAGCAGTTCTTGGAAAAGCATGTGCTTATTTCACTCAGTAAAACATCCCTCCACGTGCAGCAATTAATGGATAGTGCTAAGTTACTAATGAGGTTTTTTCCCTAGGTATGATGAAAAAGCCCACAACTGCTACACATACGCACTGGCATTCATTAACAGCATCCTGACCACCCTTGGGAAACAGCAAATGAGCAAGAGTGAATTCACAGAGAGATTTGTGATCCCCCACACAAAGAGAGCTTCCAGATACATCACTCTGCATCAGGAGCTGACAGCTAAGGAGTTCTACATCGTACCCCTTCCTGAGCAAGAAAAGCAGTGCTCAAAATGACAAGCTGCTCTAGTCAAACTTTGCAACATGCAATAGGAAAAGAAGTCTTAAAACTCCACAACTCAGGGTTTCAGATGGATGGTGGATTAATGCGTTTACATGGTAAGCTGCACATCATGAAGGACTGGGAAACAACTGGTGCATTTGAATGAAATAGACACACACACACACACACAAAATATATAAATGCTATAGAATATTCCTATAGGAACTATCCATATGGAAAACCATCTTCCTGTCTGCAGTCATGACATGCTGTCTTCTGCCAAGACACTTAATACCAGAAATCACAACTGCTGTGTAATCGAGGGGTTTGACAAATGAACTGTAGTAATTTAAGACATAGCAAACCAAAGTGTTGGGTTTTTTCCTGTCAGAGTTGTTTACTGGGGAGTGAAAACAAGGGAATTAATGCTTGCATGCTGCTGGAATCCAAAGTCCATGATTTAATGCAGATTCACTGCCTGCAAAGTTATTTTTCCTTAATCGCTAACAAATATAACAAATAAATCCACCCTCTTTGCCAGATGTATTTCTCTTCCAATTCTTTACATTGTGCACATTTATTGCTCAAACCAAGGCAGATGCTTAGTATAAAAGATAATTTACTGCCTGCATCTCTTAGTGTCTGTAACAAGCAACAAACTGCTCAGGATTTAGCTCAAACTCTGTAACGTAACAAAAAGAAACATAAGAAATTAAATATCCTCCAACAGCACTTCCACCTGTTGTACATTACACACAAACGTATGCTGAGGCCAGAATTGTGCAGTTCAGAATCACAGAATGATTTGGGTTGGAAAGGACCCTAAGATCATCCAGTTCCAACCCCGTGCCATGGGCAGGGACACCTCACACTAGAGCAGGTCACCCAAGGCTCTGCCTAACCTGGCCTTGAACAGTGCTAGGGATAGAGCATTTACCATGCAGCCTTCTCTTCTCCAGACAAGTTTTTTAGCTCATCTTCATATGGGAGATTGTACAATTTTACTTTGTTTCCTTATATGCTAGTTTAAGAAAATAATTCCATCTTTTCTTCTACTAATATCTGCAAAGCCAGCTGGTGTTAGTCTAGGTGTAAGTCCTATTTTCTCAAAGATGGAGGAGTAATCATAAATGATGGGGGTTTTCTCCACATCCAGTTTGTGCTTTTTTATACACCAACTGCGTTAACCTTGCCCCTCCAATACTCTCTAGCTGCACACACATTTCACAGACTTTCCTCTGTGTTCTTCCACTTCTTGCTAAAGTCTAGGTGGTATTTCCTTTAAAAGGATATTTAAAAAGCACAACACTATTAGCCAGGACAATGAGCCCCAGATGTGCAGTTCTGCTGCTAGAGACCTCCCGTTCACTTACTCCATGATCAGATTTCTTCAGCTAGGATTTGGCTTACAGAAAGAAACGATGGTGTGCTATTTCTGAGTGACTCCAAATCCCCACTTCGTTGAAGTACTGCATTTGAATTGGCAGAATACAAGTACAATGGTAAGTACTATGGTGCAACTATTAATGTGAGGTACTTGGTAGAACAGAACTGAAATATGAAGTACCATCATCTACAGCTAGAAATAAAACACCTTGCCATATAGTCAACACATACATACCTGTTCAGCTTGAAAAAGCTATTGTGCAATTAACATTTTCACTTTACATCCTTCCAAAGTATTAAATGAAAGCAAAGATTAGAAGATCCTCCACTTTGAGGTGCACATAGCTTCCTGAATTCATGGCATGGCTTTACAACTAATACTGCCTCAGTAAATGACATTGTGGTTTGGTAGAAACAGCCTGCGTTGACAGAACTTCCACCATCCCTGGAAAGTTTCCTGTACCCAGGAGGCAACCCCCCTTTTATAGTGAATGAAAAGAGCACAGAATCCAGAACTGTGTCACTCTGAGCAGCTGTCATTTATCCTTACTGCTGTAGCAAATGTGTTCTTTCAAAACACAGTGTGTATGTGTGTGGAAGAAAAATCCTAACAGCATGGTGAAGCAAGGAAGCCAAGATGGAATTGAAATGCCTGAATCTAAAGCAGCAATACTTACAATGCAGTGTAGCTGATGCTTACTTCTTGGCTTTTCTTGAAAGACAGCTGAGTACCTGCTGGGTGGGTGGCTGGTTTGTTTTACAGAGGTAGCTTAGCAATAGGAAATACCACATTTGCACTCCAGATGATTTAAGTCTTACAAAAAGGTAGGAAAGACCTCAGTGCTGCTCCACACCTCCCTTGGTACAAAACACAGCAGTGCCTCCTAGTATGTGCTACAACAAATGACAGGCCAGGGCACAGAGAGCTACGAGTGCACTATGAAAATAAACTTACAGACTGCTGCAGCTGCTGGATGAAAGGGAAAAAGGCAGTGATGAAACTGCCAGGCTAGAGAGACTGACTTCCTCTCACTCACTCTGCAAACCTTCACTGTTTTCTGCATAGCATCAAAAGAAAAGGGCACGAACTTGTGGCTGGGGCATCTTGCTGTCACGGGGAAGGTCACGTCCTTACTTTCATGGAGGAATCTTACCCTGCAAATCCCAAAGAGAGACAAATACCTTACCACATGGGGAAAGGTGCCTAACACCTAACTTTTGCCCCAGAATTAGTTTAAATCCTTGCACATTCTGGGAAGACTTCCTCAATTCTGAGCACTGTCTGTGAAAAGAAGCCACTAATCCCAGCACTTTGGCATATAAGAGCAACGTGTGACAATGTTCACTACTGTGACAACCGTGCCTCTCCCCACATCTAAGTTTGTGCAACTTCATCAAGGCTGTGAAGTCAGGTTCTGGTTGGAGAACCAGAGGTATCCCAAAAGGTTATGTGGCTCACTGTAATTACCAACCAAAAACCAGCATTAAACTTGGAGACTCAAGTTGAAGCTCTCATTTGTGAAGACATGCCGGAGCCTGTGCTGAGCTGCAGAACGAAGTTAGCCTTCCAATTCCCAAGTTGAACTCTGACGAATCTGTGAGGTACTCCCAGAAAACTGTTTGAGCCCTCATTGCTTAGGCTTTGAGGCAGACATCTGGATTTGGGACTTCAGTGGCTCTGCAGGCTGTAGTGCCTGTTCAGCATTAACGTCAGAGTACTTCCAATACCACTACTAATCACTGCAGTGTAGCCAGCACTCAAACATACACTCTGGAAGTTTTAAGGAAACAAACAAGTTGTTTGATTTGGGACACAGCTTTAATATTTTCCCCTTCATATGTTCAGTTATTCAATACAACATCCTCTCCGGTAAACAGAATATACCCCATTTTAAATAGCATTTATACATACCAACTGGCTGTTTACAGAAACTCTCCTGAGGCAATGGTTCATCATGAGAAGATCAGGTAAAAAAATAAGAAGTGGCTTTAAGAAAAGAAGTTTTTCCTATCCTGTCAGTTAAAGTTCCTCTTTCTCACAGCGCTCACGGGAAGAAACCCAACGAGTTACAATCAGCTCCTGAAATAAAACCCAGCAGTTATTATGGGAGGGGGAAAGAAAAGAAAAAGCTACAGCTCTTCAGTGAGGGATGGGGATGAAGCCTTCAGCAAACTGATGTGTATTATGTGAGCCCTGAGAAACTCCAGTAGATGACTAATTTGTTTCTAAGTGCGCTGGTCTCTCACACATTTTTCTCCATTTTTAAACATGCATTAACTTCACAGTCTCCAGAAACATCCCTGTATGCCCATGCAAATGCTTACATTCACACAAGCAGCAACATTCTAATTTAGATGAGATCATCTTCAGTCTCTTAAAAGCCTGCAAGGCACTTCTCATGCCTTGGGGCACAAAGCAATTTAGTTATTTCATTGCAGCTGTGTGCAAAAAACAAAGCATGCTAAAAAGCAAGCAACAGTTCCAGGGGGCTCATAGGAGCAGCTGGACAGTCAACTCTAAGCAAAGCTACACAGCCAAAGGAGAGAAGTGGTTTCTCACCTGAACCTTAATTCTTTTCATACATTCTGGTGTTGACATGTCTTTTTCAGTCATGTCAGAAGGTTTAATCAAATAGCACAACATCAGTTCCTGTTGGTAAACAGAAAACATGAATACACAAGCTTCAACTGATTTCTTTCTATACAAGTTTTCACAGGCTGAGTTGGACTTGGGGGAGACCTTAGAGCAGCTCCAGTGCCTAAAGGGCCTACAGGAAACCTGGAGAGGGGCTTTGGACAAGGGCCTCTAGGAACAGGATAAGGGGGAAAGGCTTTAACCTGCCAGAGGGGGGACTGAGATGAGCTCTTAGGCAGAAGCTCTTCCCTGTGAGGGTGCTGAGGCGCTGGCACAGGGTGCCCAGAGAAGCTGTGGCTGCCCCATCCCTGGCAGTGTTCAAGGCCAGGTTGGACACAGGGGCTTGGAGCAAGCTGCTCTAGTGGAAGGGGTCCCTGCCCGTGGCAGGGGCTGGAGCTGGATGAGCTTTAAGTGCCCTTCCAACCCAAACTGTTCTAGGATTCTATGCACTTTTAGGTTAATTAGAAATGCAGATTCCAAGTTTCCTGTAAGATGTCTTCTGCAAGACCTGTATAATAATCATCTCTCCTTTTCCTTAGCAAAGCATAAACTAGAATTACAACACCTGAGCACCATGGCTGCAAGTATGGAAGCACTATATTTGAGGTTCCAGAGAGAAAATCTTTTGGAGACTTTCAGCATCACTGTTCAAAAGAAAGTCCTTATAGATGGAGAAGGTTTTAAAAACTTCAGTAGCAAACAGGAAACAAATGCCCCTTCATCTTTCTCCTGTTCATGACACAGCTTTTAACTTTCCTGCAGATGACAGAACTTTAATAAGCCTCCTCCAGAATTCATCTGGATATTGTCAAAAGGAAGCTTGTTTGCCTACTGGCAACTCCACGTGTTCTTCAGCAGACCAGAAACAGAAGGCTTCTCTATCCAGCCCCACTCGAACTCCCTGCTCTTCAGAACTAAACTGAACTTTTATCATTCTAAAGCTATTTTAAAACTAGCATCTGACACTTACCTTAGAAGCATTAGCAGTTGTTCTGTTCAACCCAGACAAGGTCTTCCAGCTGAGCGGTCTGCGAAGAGAGCCTTCAAAATTATCATCAACTAATTCAGCAATGACAGAATAACTGGAAAACAAGGAAAATTCACTGAAATAAAATTACCGTTTTAGGAAGATCACTAAACTTAAGAATTAAAGCCTAAAAACTGGTGTTAAACAATATGCTAGCATGCAAGAAACTTAAGTATCTTTCTACGAGGAAAAGAGAAGAGATAAAGCTGTGAATATGCTCACTGGAACTTTCCATTTGCACCCTTCTGCTGATGTTTGTAGCATTCTCTTACAGACACCATTCTGAGGTTTATAACCAGTTCACTATCTAGTTCAACCTGACTAGCTAACAAATAAAGACAAATGTCATCCCTTAAAAGGCTTTTTTCTTCCAAATTATATTAATGATCCCTGCCATGTATTTTCAAAGGTATTACTAAATCACTTTCCTGAGTGCATTCATCATATGAGTGCTAAATATGCTCATTGCAACTTTGCATTTTTAACATCTTGCTACTGCTACATAAGTTCAAGGAAACTGCATCATTTAGTACCTCTGCTAAAAGAACTTTTTCATTTCCAGTATGAATGCATCTGGCAAAGTATTGTGAGTGAAGAGTATGTGTTTAGCCAGGCAAGATACTAAGTTTGTGTGAAAGACTTTTATTCATTTGAAATTAAGAAAGTAGACAGAAACATGAGCTTCAAACCTTGCATGATAGAAGGGGGGGCCCTTTCGATACAGCACTGAAAGGAAAGAGAAACAACTCAGTTAGATAACCACAGAGTTCCCATCTGAGTTTAATGCTCCATAAATATTTTCAAATGCTTTGCAAGTTTTAACCACACACAATCTTTAACACCTGAATGCTGAGGGAGTGGGGGGGAAGGGGGGGAAGAGACAAAAAAACCCTGGGAGCAGCACAGGGGAGTAGCAGGCAAAAGATAAAGTAGAAGAGCCAAAGGACAGTCAGCAACTGCCACAGGAAGAAGTTTAGGATGCCTTTTTCCTTCAAGAGATTCATACTTTTAATACTGTATTTGCAACAGAAGTTGAGCCACTGGAGTCCAAGTAAAATATCACAACAGGCCATTGAATTTCTGTTCCAAGCAAGCATTTTCCACAAGTTTTAGGAGAGGCGCAGGGCACATGTTCTTAGACACTGCACCCCAGAACCACTAAAAGTTCCTTCTTATGGATATACAAGATTCATTGCAGCTGGACTGCTGTAACTGAGCTAAATGGTTACTTTTTCCATCTTCCCTTTGTCATGAGCACGTAAGAGGGGATTTTCTTTAACTATCACAGCTTTTCTTACGCAGCTGGCTAGCACAGACCTCTCAGGAAGAGAACAAGCAGCTCTTTGCCCCAGTGACAACCATGATTTGCAAAGTATCCATTATAAACAACTGCAGTAACATTGACTCTAAGCACGAGAAGTTAGCGGAGCTCAGGGTAAGGCAGAACTCCTGTCAGCCTTAAACTAATCCTTTGTCCGGCACAAATCTGAAAGGCAGTGATACACTAAACAACAAATTCATGCCAGAACACAAATGAATGGTGAGGAAGCTAGTATCATTTCATCATTCAACAGCAAAACCCCATCTACAACCCACGGTACTAAGAACAGTGGTGATGAATTCAGGCAAATCTACACACTGATCTGAATGACTAGCTCAGCGCAACCTAGACAGTCTCAAATACACAAACCCCCAAATGACAGAACCTTGTCAGCAGTATTAAAACACCCGCTGGTTTGCATGCATACATTAAAAACTATCCCCCTTTATGCACATTTTCCTGTAACAACAGGCATTACTGTACTAGGGCGGGTTTTTTTTGATGTAAGCTTAATGGAGCTCTTGAATTACTTAGCAAGGGATTAAAGACACTACTAATTATTTATGTAAGATTAGAAACTCTACCCTTAAGAAACAAGCAAGTACTTTCCCCCACCCTCCCCTGCAAAAAACAACCATACCATACAGAAACAGCCTTAGCTCTATGTTAAGCAGAAGTCCAGCTTCCATTAAATGTGATCAACACTGAGATGCATGGACTTTGATATGAATTGGGATCTAGATGCAAACCTGCTGTTCCAAAGACTGTACGTTAACAATGCAGATGTGTTCAGAAGGGGACAGAAAAACTTGGGAATTCCAGTATAACCCTCTATTAATTATTAACCTCATGAAGCAAAACAACCTTTCAAGCTATCTTTTCAGCTACTGGATACGTGATGTTGTCTTCCACTTACATCCCAACTCCTGCTGAAACACAGTCCAGCCAAGAATGCCTTTTTACAACTGCAAGTAGCAAAGCCAGCTCCTTATTGTTGAATTCAGCTTTGGCACTGGAGTCTTGCACTGCCTGAAAAGAAGTCAGCTGCAAATGATTCCGTGTTTTCTAAGGAAGCTACTCACAGAGATCAGTTCCATACTTGAGGCCGACCTTGGGGACCCAGCCCTTGCTGCGGAAGTAGTGATAGGCCATGTAGGTTGTTTTAAAATCAGGCTTCACTTCGCTGAAAACTTCCCATAGCTTCAAAATAGTGAGGGGCTCCTAAAAGGCATTAATATTAATATGTATTAATATGCATTAATATCAATCAGATCAATGTATTAATATGTATTAACATGTATTAATATTAATCAGATTATATGTATTAATATTAATCAGCTAGAGAATACTGTGTGTAGTAGAGCCAAATAACCAAATATCAAATATCACAGTCAACTGCAGAGAGCATGAGCTTCAAGCTATAAAATATGGAAATCCCTGGATACAAGACAGAAACCTGTTGCTGCATTTAGTGGGTGGTTTAGAGTTTCTTTAGCATTTCACTATCAGTCTCATAATGCCCTTGTTTAAATGAAAATCTAAATCTTAAACTAGAAGCATAGGTTTCAATTATTTGTCATTACATTAACAGTAGCTTGATATAGATTAATACTTAAAATGCCAAGGAATCTTTCTGTTTCAGGAAAGAGAGACTATTCGCCATATTACTCCTCCCAAACTTGCTTTCCCCTTATTTTCTGCCTAAGGTACAATCAAACCCCTTCTCTATAAAAGCTGTGCTTAAAAGCTTTCAGACCAGTATTTCATAAACAGAAATGCCATTATAGGAAGCTCCTAATTACTCTGTTGGGTATTTCCTCCTTCAGAATTAACAGCATAAAATATGTCGTAGTAGGTAAAAATTTCATATTAAAACATACTCAGACTAATGGTATCACTGGCAATCCAAAATTAACCCCATCTCTTACCTCACCATAATAAATGCTTAAACATCCCAGAGCATACACCAAGAAAAAAGCCTGAAAAAATAAACAGAGTAAGTTTAACTGACAGCTAGACTCTTCCTGTAACTTATATTCCATGCAAGAGCAAAGTCTCAAATTAATTTTACACAAGAATCCTAATGACATCAAGACAAACGATTTGCCTAAAAGTTTACTTTGAGATTT